CTGCATAATTCCGTTAACCAACATCTGTATATTGTCTTTTTCTATCACAGCCATACTTGAGTTGTTTCCCAACTTTACAGAAGTGCTGAAATTGTTTATCTAGCTTGTTGAAAAATTCCTTCTTGCCGTACATATGGTTACTGTATCCTGAGTCAAGAGACCATAAATCTTTTTTGCTAGCTTTCTTGTTATCCTCATAGGCCATTAACAACATTTCTTCACTAACATCAACATAATGTGCATTCTATGTCTCCTTACTTGGACATTCATACTGAAAATCTCCAAGCCTGTGGCAATTATAGCACTCAATGGTAGACTTATTAAAGCTTTGTCTACCCCTACCTCGTCCTCGTCCTCGTCCTCGTCCTCGTCCTCTAATTCCACCACTACTTCGTCCTCTTCCTCCTAATTGATTTTCATAAGTAAGCTTCAGAGCCTGCTCTTCCGTAGCATGGCTATTCATACGTTGTTCATGTACAAGAAGATTGCTCTGTAGTTCATCAATGGATAAGTTGTCTAGATCATTAGACTCCTCAATAGAGCATACAACATAGTCAAATTTTGGAGTCATAGATGTTAGAATCTTTTCATTGACCACGACATCAGTCATTTCTCTCCATGATTCCTCATCTTGTTTGCTATAGTAAAAGTTCTAACAAAATATTCATTCACAGATTCTCCTACTTTCATGTTGAGCACCTCAAATTCCTTTCGAAGAGCTTGTAGTTTCCAGAACTGGTTTATCAGTGGCTTGGAATAAATAAGTGGTTGTGATTTTGAGGAACAATTGAAGAAGATTAAAAGGGGGAGAAGAAGTTATTAAAAAAAGGAGAGTAGAAATTAAATTTTTAAGGTGAATTTTGAGGAGAAATGACATGATGAAATCAGAAAAATTGGAGGATATTAACTTAACAACTAAAGGAAAATTTTGTCATTTTGCCAACTAAAATATTTTGCACTTTTTTATTTGATTTTATTATTGGTCAAAGGCCATTTAACTAAACATTGCGGCCAAATTCCTTATGATATTGCTAATGCCTAATGGAAGAAACTATTTAGTTTAAAAATTACTCAAGCCCTGGGGATTGGGGTGCTTGCTGAGCAGCTCTCCATTCTACTCTTGAATCTTGATTAAACTCTATTGTACCAAATCTTTCTGGTACAGATTTGTCTGTGTTTTTGTTTTTGTCTCCTTGTGTATGTATGCGAAGAATTAATCAAATATTATACAATAGAATCATCACGTGTTTATGATTTTTTTCCATACTCGACGTTACTTTTATTCTATAATTGATTGCAATTAATAGCTAGGGTTTTTGTTTTGACTTTAAATTCCTGGAAATGTGAAATTTAAAGATTGTTTAAGGAAGAGGAGGGTTTTCGATGCTGGACATGCAAGCCTTGTCCCCTACAAGCCCTTAAACTTGCACTCAACCTTGTCCCAAGCAAGTACCTTAAACTTTGTCTCGAGCAAACACCTAAGTCTTGACCTTCCAAGAATCTCAAATCTTGCCTCGTACAAGCATCATTACAAATATTTTGTACATTTAGATAAAATTAGTCTTAAAAAATCAATAAGTAAAAGGACCAACCATATAATTTCGAAGTCTATAAAGTATCGTATGTAAAAATTTTAAGTTAAGGTTTGGGTTCAACATCCTTCCTTTTTAATCTTAAATACGAATGGTGTCCAATCCCTTCCTTTCAAATTTTTAACAAGTTCGGAGTTAAGCCCTTTTCAAACTTTTAATATGTTCGGGGAAAAGCCCCATTCCATTTAATATTTTTAACAAGGTTGGGGTCAAGCCTTTCCTTTTAATTTTTTAACAACGTCAGTGTCATGTTCCTTTTCTTTCAAATTTTTAACATAACCGAGGTTTAGCCCTTCTTTTCAAATTTTTTGACAAGGTCGAGGTAAAGCCCCTTCCTTACAAATTTTTTAACAAGATCGAGGTTAACTCCCATTCCTTTTAAATTTTTAAAATGATCGGGACACGCTATCTTAGATCTCTCCGGGGCCTATCAACTTGACATGAGCGTGCCTACTCCTTGGCATGATCATTCCTAATCCATAGCTTGAGCATGCCTATCTCTTTGCATGAATGATGAGAACCACAGAACGATGGCCAACAAGGATTTGTTGATTGTGTAAGAAGGACCAATGAAGAGCTCGCAAGCGAAGAAGATCAAGAAAGTCATATGATTACTTGCCCAAGCTACTATGTGGACCAAGAGTTCGAATGCAACGAACAATAATTTCACAACTCACCATATCTTTAGGAATTAATTTCTTAAGAGGAGGCGGTGCAGACGTCTTTCGATGCTTAGGGGTTATCAAGGGAGCGACGTCCAAGTCAGATTGCTATAGAAAAAACACGAAAAAAATTAGTTACTATCCAGAAAATAAGTAAGAAGCCTTTAAAAATAATTAACACGTGAATTTACCCACAGTAGTCTGAGCACGAACATTGTGGAATTTTGAATTGGAGGGATGACTTGCCACAAAGGAAAGATGGGTAAAAGGCAAATAACAAGCAAAGGAAAATTACTTAGAGTATGTTTGATTAACATGGAAAATATCACCTAGAAAAGAAAATATTTTCCATCTTTTGTGGAAAATAAAAACTACATTTACCCAAGGAAAATGTTTTCCTTAAAAACAAGGAAAATTAGGCTTATTTTCAAAAGTTGGAAAATGTTTTCCATGGAAAAAAAAATAGCAATCAAACACTCCAAGTAGGAATTTGGGTGGAAAACTCCATAAACAAAACTAGGACATAATCATAGAAGGGTGAGGGAAAATCAGTTGCAGTACCCAATTGTATATTTTATTGGGTGTGGTTACAAACTTCGAACAAGTTTTGGGGAAGGGAGGAGAAAGATAATAATACCTATTTTGTGGGTGCATTTTATTCATCGCCTTCATAGGATGGTAGATAGATAAGAAAACCTCTGGAGAAAGACTTCCAAGCCTGCAATATCCCATAGCAAAAATGAACCAACCATATAGGGCCATCCATTCAGCATAAGTTGGGTGGGAGCAGTATTAATGGAAGAAAGGATGGGATGAAAAAAGGGTGAAAGGGGATTTTAAGCCTCATTTCCATCAAATACCTATGGGTAACTATACAATCATGAGGGCGATCCACGGTTTGTAATTGCCTAGGACAAATCAAGTCTATGTCCGCAGGGATACCAAAGAGATCTCGAAATTTACCTAAATCATTTTTCAATAATATTGGCAAATATCTCTAAGGCTTCAAAAGCCTCCCTATCGTCGGTATTCAAATCAATCAAAACTCAAAGGTTGCGAACCTTATTAATATTTGGTTGGAAACTACCTCCCGAGTTAAGAAGTTTAGGATTACCCCTGCCCTTCGGGGCATAGCCTAGTGGTACAAAGGACAGGAGTGACGTTATTTCACGCCTTGCTGGCAGCCGCAGTGTGAGGGTTCGATTCCTGAGACATGGAATTTGACTCCTTGTAGGCGCAGTGTACAGACAGCTCTTGTTCCTGGCTTGCTGGGGCACATCCCGCGATTTACCTCCCTTACAAAACTCTAGAAGCGGGGTGGCGGGGGCCCTCAAAGTTGGGGTTCAATCTTAAGTTTAGGATTACCCCTAAAAGTGGATGGCTTCGTTGCGGAATGGAGACCCATTAGAAGAAAAAAGGCACCCCAAGGAAAAAGTCCCCAAGTCTAAAACTTTCGACTTTTGAGTCTGGGACAAATTTTGAGAATCACTTTAAGAAGACACGGTAATAAAAGTAGAACGCAAAATACATCTAAAGAAAGGGAAAAATTACTAAAGAGAATATGTATAGCAAGAAAAAGATCACAAAGAAGGGACAAGAAACCTATAAGAAGAAAAGACATTTTATAGATTCTAAAAAGGAACGTGAGCCATTAGACTAAATACTTAAACAAATCACAGCCATCCAAATTATCCAGGCAATCACGACCATTAGATGTTAGGGGGTGTCTGATTGAAAATTCAAAAAGAATGAATACGATTATATGTAACCAACCGCATGTCAAATGTGCACAAGCCACTAACCTGGAAATGTGCAAAATAGGCCTTGTTGTGCACGTAAATAATTGTAACAATCATAGCATGTTCCCTCAATATAGCCCAAATCATCGAAGAGTAGGCGCCAATAATGACAAGCTCTCATATTAATAGAAATACGAGTCCTAAATCTAATGCAAATAATAAAATCGAACTTTGGGGACTATTTGTTAAAACATTGAAATAAAATCCGTGAAACTTGCCATATTGATAGCGAAAACGTAAGGTGACATGTGAAGGAACGAGGCGTAACCAAAGTAGGCGAATCTTCTCTCATTCAGGCTGGATACAAATTGTTACTAGAATAACAAATAGATTAACGAATAAAATATGATACTCTGATTATAGCTAATAAGAAGCTGCCATTTTTCATTGTCCCTAATTGACCAAATTACCACTAAACTTGGAGGAAAATCTATAAATGCACTTATTTTTGAAGAGAAAGACATGCAATTTAAATATTTATATTTCAAATTGGTTTTCTTTTTTTTTTTCTCCTACTTCAAGTTTGAGCGTCGAAACCAGTAAGTTTAGAAGGAGAAGGTTATAGTTATGTTATTTGTTTTGTTTTGTTTACCATCAACACCCGGTTCTTATGAAGGGATTTTCTCTCCCAACCATTTCAAATAACCACGCGTCTACTATGCAGGTATAGAATGGCCAAGAGCCTAAGCTACTCCATGGACTACAAGCTGAATGTAAGTCAGCCATCTAACGGTCGTGGGAAACCCAAAATTGGCAGCTATATCGTTTATTTTTGTTTTGTTTTATAATAATGTTCCTTTATTTCAATTTAGCATCGATAGGTCGACAAACAGTTTAAAAATCCATCTTTCTTGTCAGAAGGTTTCGAGTTCTTATAATGTTAGGCTTTGAATTTGTTGTATTTGACCCAAATCCAGAAACAATGTCAAAAGATAGGGAGTAGCATATAGGTAACTTTATTCATTAAAATAATAATAACAATAAAAAATAAAAAATTTTAATGTCTAGGATAACAATACCAGTGCCACAAATATGTCAAAACTGACATTGGAGTTGAACAATAGACCTAATAATGAGCACATTTTAATTCGAGAGGGAACATTAAAGCTATTTCTTACAAAGCCTAAAGGAACATTACTGTTGATTCAAGAACTTCCAGCAACAGCCAACTGGGTCGGTTCACAACTTGGAGTTTCAGTGAAAACCAGTTTGTTTGCAGCCACTGCCTTGAGCCGATACCTCTCTGCTCTAGAGCCCAACACTTGTCCTATAATAGATGCAGCGATGGTAAATGCCATAGCCGTCTTGGGCATCAGCACAGATTTCCTGAGTATGGCTATGAACGGCACAGCTGCATGAACAGCAGCAAACCAAGAAGGAGAAAATTTTTCAGTGTGTTCTCTCCATATTCCTAAAGGTATATTAGCAGCCATTCCCAGCACACCAATTACAAGTATTTTTGTAGGCAGAGGTTGTGGCCGAAGGTTTTTAGCAAAGGCAGTTCGTGCTAGAGCACTCCTGGCAGCAACAACTGCTGGAGGACATATAAGATTCAGACCGGGAGGAGGTTGAAGGGCCTTTGCTACAAGGGGAAGGACTTGATTTACTGCTCGATATGATTTTGCGATTGGGCAATTTCCATTTTGCAACCACTCATTGCTTGTTGCCTCGTGTTCTGATTTCCCTCCCTGAAGAACAAAGGAACCATCAAAAGCTGTCTGTTTCTAACCATAATACTACTAAAAAAATTGCATATGCAGGAAAAGTAAATACTTGTCAGAATGTAAGTAGACGATTACCCTTGAGGAAGTGTCCTTTTTGGAGGACTTGGATTTCTTGTTTTTAATCTTCCACTTCTCAGAGAATGCATCAAATCCAAAAGGCCATCCAGAACCAAAACCGGAGAGGCTGATGGTGGCAGCCTTTGCTGCCAAGGGATTGAACTGAGTTGATGCTGGTTCAGACCGCTCAGTGCAAATTAATGATCTTTCGGACAGTGGGACAACACCGTTCTGTCCATGGAAAAGCCTGAAAGCCATATCAAAATTGGGACCCTCCTCAAATATTGGACCTTTCCCATCCCGCATCTGGAGGAGGAAGACAATTTAGAAAAATGGAAAGCACAATAATGCCAAGTTATGGATAAATGTAAACACTGTAAGTGAAATCAGATAGACGACTTACAGGCAAGGGGAAAGCCATTGAAGTTGACAAGGAGAAGTTAGTGGGTTCACTGACATTTTGCAAAAATGGACAACTAATCATATCCTGCTGAAAAGGTGAGGATTCCCTATTCAAATTCCCCAGGAGAAAAACCATTCTAGATATCTAAAAAGACCTGCAGAAGAATGTAAAACTTCAAAAGCCGATATAGTTGAAATTAAACCGAGATAACAGAAAGTACATATTTTAAGTGTCTGTACCTAAACTCAGAAGGTAGCAAGAATACAAGCGAAAATAAAACGTGAGATACAATAAATCACTTGATCTCCCTTATGATTTGCCAAACTACACTACAGCTAAAGGTGAATTACAAGCACAAACTCATGCTGCCTGTTAATTTGCAAAATTTGATAGACAAAAAGTTCTAACCTGAGAATTATACATACATCTAGAGAACGAAGTCCATTCGTAAAAGGTTTACAACCATAAACTAAGAACTAAGACTTTCACTTGGGGAAAGTTGAAACTTTTGTCCTAATAATCATCCATTTCACCCTAAATTCTTCAAAATAGAAAATATATAATATTTTTTCAATAAATCCATATGAATATTTCCTGCTAAACTAACAGTGCTAGCAAAAAAGTGATTGCGAATTATGCCAAATTGAGTTCAAAAAGTTAATATCAAACACGTATTCAGCAATCTCGAAATTAATTGAACAACAAGTGACATTCGAAACCCATAAATCAGAACTTGATAAAAAGCCCAAAATCACAACTTTTGCAGCAAAATATACGTAATTACATACAAACATATGGATCAAAACTAGATAGGACTAAGATAATACCTTTAAAATTGTAATGAGGCAAAACTCGAAAGCGTGATATGTAGGGAGAAATGAGAATCTTGGAGTATGTAGGCAAGGACAATGGCAGTGGAGAGAACATCAACGAGTATATTTAGGACGGCGTCACGAGTCCACACGCCTATTTTGATTTTGAAGAAGTAGTAGTACTAGAATATTAGTGTCGTAGAAATTTTCTTCTCCCTCCATTGTTGAACGGACAGCAATATCGGTCAGCATTGTACCAACTCTTTTTTATTATTTATTATATTTATTTATTTTGGTGAGGCCCTTTCAACGTGGTTTCGAAGAAGGGTACCTTTCGAATGCGGTCCTGAAGTTTTCAACAAAATTTCAATTGGATACTAAATTTTTAATTTATCTCAATTTTCCATTGAACTTTAATTTATATTCAATTATGTCACTGAACTTCAATTCAATTTTAAATATTACCACTTTGTTGAGAAATGACAAAATGCCCCATCCTCACATGCCTTGTTGAGAATTGAGACATAGATAGGGAACATGATACTTGCCATGAATTCAAAACTTATTTTATTTTATGCCAATTAAACTTAACTCGTATTATGAAAAAAGCAAAAGTAATTGTGTCATGTTATGTTGCCTTTCCAATCGATAAAAAATGTTCAATTGACAATTATATCAATACAGATGACAATTTTTTATTTTTTATGAAGTACGATTTAAATTTGAAAACATAAATAATAAGAGTCAAGGGTAGGGTAGGAAAATTCCCATTCCGGCTCTAATTCCCTTCTAACTGGCAAATTGTGGCTCCATATACAACAATCGATGTGATTCATTTTATTATTCCTACATTTCACAAAGATCTTCCATTTAATTGTTGTGTGTCATGTCAACTTACCATTACGACATATGACAAAAGTGTTAAAAAAAAAAAAAAATTCTTTTTAATCTTAAGATGTTGGAACCCTTAGTTCGTCATATTCATTCTTAGGGTGTCTCGTAGAGATTACATAAAAGAGGAGGCTGACAACTAAATTATTTTTCTCTGTTTGAATTAAATTAGAGTGTTACAGGAAAAAAATATTTTTAATTAAATTAAAGTTCTCTAATTCAATTGAGATAAATTAAAGATTAAAGATTAAAGTTTAATGACAATAGAGCTCTTGTTTTTTATGTGAAATTTTGAGTGTTTGGAGATGATCTATTCTCAATAAGACGGCTCGGTAATAGATCACTTCTTTCAAAGGGCACCCCATTCGTTTTGCTCATAAATTATAATAATTCAATAAATTCTCCGAGTTGCAAATGGATCTACCGGTTCACCAATCGTAGATGGTTCTAGAACCGCTACACCTACTAAATTCATACAATAGTACATAGAATTACTACTAGAAAAATATATAAAAGACTAGAATGTTCAATTGTCTCAAGACAAAAGTAATTTTATGAATTATGGAAGATATGAATTCTCCCAAAAAAAAAAAAAAAAAACACAAAAAATTTTCTTCCCAAAGGGCCTTTGCTACAAGGGGAAGGACTTGATTTACTGCTCGATATGATTTTGCGATTGGGCAATTTCCATTTTGCAACCACTCATTGCTTGTTGCCTCGTGTTCTGATTTCCCTCCCTGAAGACAAAGGAACCATCAAAAGCTGTCTGTTTCTAACCATAATACTACTAAAAAAATTGCATATGCAGGAAAAGTAAATACTTGTCAGAATGTAAGTAGACGATTACCCTTGAGGAAGTGTCCTTTTTGGAGGACTTGGATTTCTTGTTTTTAATCTTCCACTTCTCAGAGAATGCATCAAATCCAAAAGGCCATCCAGAACCAAAACCTGAGAGGCTGATGGTGGCAGCCTTTGCTGCCAAGGGATTGAACTGAGTTGATGCTGGTTCAGACCGCTCAGTGCAAATTAATGATCTTTCGGACAGTGGGACAACACCGTTCTGTCCATGGAAAAGCCTGAAAGCCATATCAAAATTGGGACCCTCCTCAAATATTGGACCTTTCCCATCCCGCATCTGGAGGAGGAAGACAATTTAGAAAAATGGAAAGCACAATAATGCCAAGTTATGGATAAATGTAAACACTGTAAGTGAAATCAGATAGACGACTTACAGGCAAGGGGAAAGCCATTGAAGTTGACAAGGAGAAGTTAGTGGGTTCACTGACATTTTGCAAAAATGGACAACTAATCATATCCTGCTGAAAAGGTGAGGATTCCCTATTCAAATTCCCCAGGAGAAAAACCATTCTAGATATCTAAAAAGACCTGCAGAAGAATGTAAAACTTCAAAAGCCGATATAGTTGAAATTAAACCGAGATAACAGAAAGTACATATTTTAAGTGTCTGTACCTAAACTCAGAAGGTAGCAAGAATACAAGCGAAAATAAAACGTGAGATACAATAAATCACTTGATCTCCCTTATGATTTGCCAAACTACACTACAGCTAAAGGTGAATTACAAGCACAAACTCATGCTGCCTGTTAATTTGCAAAATTTGATAGACAAAAAGTTCTAACCTGAGAATTATACATACATCTAGAGAACGAAGTCCATTCGTAAAAGGTTTACAACCATAAACTAAGAACTAAGACTTTCACTTGGGGAAAGTTGAAACTTTTGTCCTAATAATCATCCATTTCACCCTAAATTCTTCAAAATAGAAAATATATAATATTTTTTCAATAAATCCATATGAATATTTCCTGCTAAACTAACAGTGCTAGCAAAAAAGTGATTGCGAATTATGGTAAATTGAATTCAAAAGTTAATATCAAACACGTATTCAGCAATCTCGAAATTAATTGAACAACAAGTGACATTCGAAACCCATAAATCAGAACTTGATAAAAAGCCCACTATCACAACTTTTGCAGCAAAATATACGTAATTACATACAAACATATGGATCAAAACTAGATAGGACTAAGATAATACCTTTAAAATTGTAATGAGGCAAAACTCGAAAGCGTGATATGTAGGGAGAAATGAGAATCTTGGAGTATGTAGGCAAGGACAATGGCAGTGGAGAGAACATCAACGAGTATATTTAGGACGGCGTCACGAGTCCACACGCCTATTTTGATTTTGAAGAAGTAGTAGTACTAGAATATTAGTGTCGTAGAAATTTTCTTCTCCCTCCATTGTTGAACGGACAGCAATATCGGTCAGCATTGTACCAACTCTTTTTTATTATTTATTATATTTATTTATTTTGGTGAGGCCCTTTCAACGTGGTTTCGAAGAAGGGTACCTTTCGAATGCGGTCCTGAAGTTTTCAACAAAATTTCAATTGGATACTAAATTTTTAATTTATCTCAATTTTCCATTGAACTTTAATTTATATTCAATTATGTCACTGAACTTCAATTCAATTTTAAATATTACCACTTTGTTGAGAAATGACAAAATGCCCCATCCTCACATGCCTTGTTGAGAATTGAGACATAGATAGGGAACATGATACTTGCCATGAATTCAAAACTTATTTTATTTTATGCCAATTAAACTTAACTCGTATTATGAAAAAAGCAAAAGTAATTGTGTCATGTTATGTTGCCTTTCCAATCGATAAAAAATGTTCAATTGACAATTATATCAATACAGATGACAATTTTTTATTTTTTATGAAGTACGATTTAAATTTGAAAACATAAATAATAAGAGTCAAGGGTAGGGTAGGAAAATTCCCATTCCGGCTCTAATTCCCTTCTAACTGGCAAATTGTGGCTCCATATACAACAATCGATGTGATTCATTTTATTATTCCTACATTTCACAAAGATCTTCCATTTAATTGTTGTGTGTCATGTCAACTTACCATTACGACATATGACAAAAGTGTTAAAAAAAAAAAAAA